GAAATCGTTTCGCACACACAACCCAGGCAAGCGAAGGAGTGAGCCTCCAAACACATTCCTAACCAGGAAACAACAGAACACTGCCAGGAACAAGGACTGGGAAACACGGCGACAGCTTGGGACACCAGTCGACACAGGCCAGGGCTGGCTGGAAAAGGCGATCAACACAGCGCCATCTGGCGCAGGTTGTTTATTCGTGTTTAAGAGCGTGCCAACTTCTTTGGTTACTTCGTACCCGCGGCCATCACCGGGTTCTCAACGCTTAGCCGGTGGGTGCGCGCTCAAATCATCATATTTTTAATCAGACAGCTATAACAGGTGCGCCTGCGCAGAAGAGTGGCAGAAGGAATACGGACTTGCGGCGGAAACTTAACTATAGGTGTGTTCACGCGAAAAAAAGATAGAAAGGGAAAGGAGTGAGCTGAGAAAGCAACATTATAAGTGTATTTACGCAGAGTAGCCGAGGGAATAACAACCAGATGAGGAAACTTAAGTATACTTGTGTGCCCGCAGAAAAGGGACCGGAGGAATAAGGGACTGGCCGTGGAAACAAACTTATGCTTGTGTCCCCGCAGAAAAGGGGCGGGAGGAATAAGGGACTGGCCATAGAAATAAAGTTATGCTTGTGTCCCCGCAGAAAAGGGGCGGGAGGAATAAGGGACTGGCCATGGAAATAAAGTTATGCTTGTGTCCCGGCAGAAAAGGGGCCGGAGGAATAGGGACGGACTGTGGAAACAAGCTTACTGGTGTTCACACAGAAGAGTAGCACTGTTTTGCACTGTCCCCCACATCAACTCTATACCATACCGACGGCACTGTTCCTCCCTGTCTCGTACTTGACTCACTTACATGGTGCCGACGAAAACACTTGAGGTACAACATCCGATGACACTCACGATCGCTAGCGTCCGGTGACATTTCAGCCGTTGATTTCGCCAGGTAAGCAATCTTATTCCGCGGTGTTGTGGTTCTGCGGTATCGTTCCTAGACTTACTCAGCTCACGAACTTTGTGGACTTCTTCAGCAGTGCAACTTTGTGCTGACCTACGTGCGTTGACGTAAAATATGATGGCGTTAAAAGTTTGGTTTCTTGATCGAAGTTCTCATGACACATACTGTGTGATCTATTGATGACAAACGATTCACTAAAGACTTATGACAGCGAGCAGCGATTTCATGTACGTGTTACGTTGGAATGCCGCCAGGCTCACGACCAGAGTCTCTGCAAGGGGGGCACACGGTTGACAAAGGGCTCCCTGGTCGTAAAAAGCCCCCCCCCCCAAAAAGCTCTAGATACAGCGCATTTGTTAACGAGGGCGTGATTTTAATTTTTATTTTCCATTTGTTTATTCCATAAATGGAATAGACGGCAGAAGCCACCGTAAGAAAATGCTGACGGAACTTTATAGCAAATAGAATAGAGAACGCATGCCTTCAACGAGTGCATTTAATAAATCACTGGTGCTCTTCATTTTACATAGTCTAGCAGACTTCCTAAACCGATAGAACTCGAGGTATGCTAGAATTGTTGTTTGGGTTTTACGGAGATTTTAGGGACGCCGCGAGTGTAGATTGTAGATCGAGGTCGGTCAGCTATTTGTATTACCTTCGCCGAGCCATGTTTTTTTCTGGGAGTGCTCACCATTCAGTCGAAATCGATACGTGACAAAAAAACATGTATGTATTTATGAATAAGCGCGCTGCAAATCTCAGGAACAAAAAAACTTGACGCCGGACGTTGCAGCCTCCCTAGGCCAAGCAGCGTTGACTTTGCGGCTAATACTACGCCGTGGCCAATGAGTGGACAACAGCGGTGACAAATCCGAAAGAAGTGCCTTCGAACGCTCTAGGACAGCAGATCATACATTTAGAAGGTAATTCAAACGTCTTTTTGACGGGTGCGATTTTTTACATTGATGTTAACGTATTGGCATTTACAGCGCCACGAAGTGGTGCTGGCTGGAACCTGGTAGCGCAGCTGGAAGGGTAAAGACAGAACATCTACTTCTCGTTTTGCTGTGTCTGTTCATCTGTGTGGAGGACAACCTCAAATTGTTGAAAAGACTCGCCCGGTCTTATCTTTGAAAGGTACGAATAAGTTTTGAGACATTCGAAACCATTATTTCACCACGGTCGTTCCCGTGCGGAGTACGTTGTGTTACTTGCAGTGGCCGACGCCGTTCGGTCTTGCGAAACTGCAACCAAGACCATCTCTGTCCCTGCTCACAACATTTCGGGCGCGTAGGCTCAAATATTTTGATGTAATTTGTTTCACTGATCGATTAGGCAAAAGAATGCATGTTCTCGGAAAACATGCAATTGCCTTGTTCGTTCTTTAACTCATTCACACCAACTCTTCAGCAATAATGAGACCACTTATTGCTCTTCGGGCAAGGGGACCTCTTGAGTAGAACACTATGGGGCATATTATTGTTCCCGGTCAGGAGCTGAAGGGCCATTCCGTTCCAATGCGGGTTGTCTTCAGGCTGCCATTCTGGCGACACGGGGAAGGATTCCCTGGTCGATCCGCAGGCCCTTAGACAGATACATCATATCCCATTGGTTCCTTTCTGGTGCAGGAAACCTTCTGATCCCTGATCGCCGCAGGCGGTCCAATAACTGGCGCATAGCTTCCAGTTCGGCTTAACGGACCCAATTGGCCCTGACTGACACACGGACCTGACCAAGTCCAAGCCTCTCATTGGCACAGCACGCCCTGTTAGGCGCTGGGCCACTGACGAGTGCAGGAGCTTAGCGTTGCTGCAGGGGCCTTGACCAATACGAATCGCGGACCCGGCATTGTCCCTGCTTGGGAAATGGCCCCAAGAGCTTAGACCGACACGGAGCCGACTGGTCGGTATTGATGGTCTATGGCCGAAACAGAGAAACACTCGGTACAAAGACTATGTAATTCACCTGGGATCACGGCCCTATGGGCGGGGGTTCTTCATCTGACCTACGGCCATGCCTTCGGGGCCCTCAGCTTTCCAATCGAGCCCTTGATCTTTGGTCCCGAGGGGCTCTTCGGCCCCTCCTCGGACCTCCTCAAAGCCTGTGACCGACTCGGGGACCCCCTGCAAGGCACTGTCGGCCCCTAGCCAGTACGGGGCCCCAGCCATTGTTTCAAGGACCCAGACCAATGCAAGCTGTGGCCCCGGCCCCGCTCGTGCTTGGGACATGGGTCCCCAGGGTTCAGACTAACGTGGAGCTAACTGTTCGGTGTTCGTGGTCTCTGGCCGACCGAGACATCCGCATCGTCTCAGAAGAATCTTCAAGTGATGCAAGAGAACCTCTGGCGGATATTTCAGGCCACGACCCTATGGGCCGCAATTCTTCACGTGACCTACAGCAAGTCATTCGGGTCCTTATGCCCTCCAACCGAGCCCCGGATCGTCGGTTTCGCTTAGCCGCCCGGACTTTTCTCCGCATGGAACACCGCTCTTGGTCGACATGAGCCCCCTTGCGAACACGGAGTTCTCTGTTAGATGCTGCGGGCCCCCGACAAATTCAGCGGAGCCAACCAGTGTGAACCGCTGGCCCCGGCTTTGTAGCTGATAGGGAAGTAGGCCCTAAGATCCATACCGACACGTGGTTGACTGTGCGATGCTGGTGATGCCTGACCGGCAGATGGGTCCATATCGATTCAGGGGTCCCCCATTAGCGCAAAGGCTCCTCTGGCTGTCATTTGAGGGCCCGTCCCCGCTGGCTGGAGCCCCTGAATAAGACTCAACTAGTCCTTCGTGCCCTTAAGCCTTCCAATCGGAACTTTGATCGTCGGTCCCTGCGGGCCCTCCAGGCTCTTCGGGCCTCCTTGCACAATGTCTCTGGCCGACTCGAGACAATCGCTAACGCAGGGCCTCTTATTATAGGCTGTGGGGACTGCTGACAAATAACATTACATTGGTCGGGGCCCCCGCTAGGACCCCGCCCAATGTAAATCGTTGGCTCCGGCTTTGTCCCTGCTTGGGGAATGGGCCCTTAGGCCCATGCCGACACGGAGCCAACTGTGCGTTATTGGTGGTGTCTGACATATCGGCCCTTATCGACCCATGAGGCCACTAATCAGCGCATAGGGCTCTCTGGATGGCATTGAAGTGTCCGGCCCCTGAATACCTCAGGCCGGCCTTTCGGGCCCTTGATCGTAGGTGCCAAGGGTCTGTCGGGCCCCTCGGAACCTTAGGGAAGGCACGTGCCTCCCCCCCCCCCCCCCCCTCCCCCCGCCTGCACTACTGATACCAGCAAACACGGCAGACAGAACAGGCGCGCTGATCAGAGCGTCGTCTGTCCGATCTCGCATCTGTCATGCGTTGAACTTTGAATCCGTACGAGTGGATCTGTAATGGTTTGGAGTAAAAACGGCCACGCCTACAGCCAAAACGAGGCCACGCGCAAGGCCACTGAGCATCAGCGCCCACCGAACAAGCGTTTCCTTGGCCCGGATCTGGCCCGCCGTCCCAAACGGACATCAAACGTGCAGCCTTCAGCGGTCCACCGGGAGCTGAGGGGATGTCTGCACACCCCGCGTCGTCTGCCGATGCGTGCAGAAGCCGAGCAGATCGGAGGGGCGGACGTGGACGCGGAGGCACGATCCCTTCGGGCACTAGAAGTCAGTCACCCCGCAGTGTTCCCCTAGATTTGCGTAAAAGCCAAGGTTGGGGGGGGGGGAGATCGTGAGCTCTCCGGGGGAGATGTCCAGACCAATCATATATTGCAGCTTCACTCCGAGCCGTCCATGCTGCAGCTGCAGGTCACGACGGCGCTAACACAGGCGGAGCCCCCGCAAACCGCGGCGAGACCCGACCTCCCGACGTCGGAAAACCCGGCACAGCTCGTGCGCCGTACTTCTGTGAAGGTCAGAGAACACGCCGTACAGCCGGCCGTGTATTCACAACACGCAGGGGCGGTGACACGGAACAGACGACGCGCTCCGCCGGAGGTCACGTGACCTGGCGGCCAGTGACGCCCCCCCCCCCCCCCCCCGCCTGGAGTTGTGAAGCCACGAACGCCGGTCCCTTGACAAGGGATAACCCAAAAAAAGGTCCAGGCGCTATCATAAGCAGCTGACGTAACTATGCCTTGAAAATTCCCGTACATGCACTGTACCCACCCTGCACTACCCCTCCCAGCGATCAGCTACAGGTCTAAACACAACATCAACCGAAACCTACGTGTTCAGTAAGCCCTCACAGTTCCAACGTGCGAACAACTATCGACCGCTTACCATTGGTAAACTACAGGAAGCAGGGCGCCGCTATGGACATAACTCTTTGGTTAAAAATATCAACATCCCCGCATGTCTGTGTCACGGCTGCTAGTGAGTCGACTGGTATCGAACTTACAACACAAGCCCGCCAATGTCCTGTGTTGATTATGTTTGTCCTGTCCGGCATATATACCTCGGAGAAGTCAGACCGTTCCGCAACGTACGCTGTTTTGATCTGCATGGTACGCATCCGTAAACACCACTACAGATATCGCGCCCACGTAAGGCAGATTCAAGGCAGGCTTAAGTAGATGCAACTTATTGCTCAGAGACTGACGTCGTGTTTTAAATGAATCGCGGTTAGCTCAGTTCCTTTTGCCACCTCCATACGGGACCAAAACGCGCTTCGCACCTTGAGCATTCACTCGGTGCTGGCCTACACTAGTCAAACACGTCCGTCCTCAGACTAAAAAAGCGCACAAGTCCCAGCCGGCGCTTCCCTGTGTCTTGTCATCACACGGGCCGAGAACATCGCTGCGACTCGGCGGGGGACGCATGCCTTCTGTGATTCAGGGACATGCGTTCTTCCTACATTAGGAAGACGCATGCCTCTGTCCCGTTTTTGATGAACTGCCGATGCTTGGGCGTCGCCATTTGGCCCAAGCCACACCTTTCTTAACTTAGACCGATTAAAATTGGGGATACATTGGGGTTCGTCTTTTAAAAGTGTATACCAGTGCTCCCGCATTTTTAGCTTTACTGACTTCATGCATGACATGGGCTGGCTCAAGCAAGGAAAATGGTCTCACACCATCGGATGTGCCGGGCCGTTCAGCAAGCAGCGAACCGACATAACTAAGAGAGTTGGCATGACTCACCAGACGAGCTTCAAGAACCGCAACAAATGAGACGCATTGGACACTTGAGGGGATCGAATAATGCACGTTATATGATTCGTTGATGATTATACGTTATATGACCATTCATTGTTTGCAATCACACTGCGTTTAAGATTTTGCTATTGACACACTTTTTCACGTCGGTCATGTCAGGTCACTGTCTAAGCGTCGCTCTACGTCAAAGACCATCGCTATTCGGAGATTCTGGTACGTCCAATACAACATGCGGCATTTAACCCTCGCGCCAGTACGATGGTCGTCTAGTGCTCCCCGCGTGCCTCGTAACTTCACCTGTCGCCACCGGGCGACAGGTCAGCTTTTCGTACCCCCTCCTCCCTGCTGCCATGGCCGGCAGTTCACGTGTCCATCGCCAGCGGCTCCAGTAGGGGGCGGTTCACGTGTCTGCCGCCAGAGGCTCCAGCGGGAGCCAATTCACGCGTCCACCGCCAGAGGCGCCAGTGGGAGGCGGTTTACGCGTCCGCCGCTAGAGGCGCCAGTGGGAGACGGTTCACGCGTCCACCGCCAGAGGTGCTGGCCAGAGGCAGTTTACGCGTCCGCCGCCAGCTGTTGGTCGTCGCTGAGCGTGTCAGTAAGGTAGGCCACCTTCAGGTACCGCGCCATGTAGGCCTTCTGCACGGGGTCGTTGACGGTCCAGGCGATGAGGCGCAGGTCGAGCTCGTGGGCGCGCCGCACCGAGGCCGACGTGACGCTGTCCTTGTGCAGCAGCAGCACGGAGAGGCCGCACAGGTACGGCAGGAGCGACATGGCCCAGCCCGCCAGCACGATGTCCAACGCCGAGGCTGCAGGGGGGAGGGGGGGGGAGGCGGTGAGATGGCGGCGACGGTGTGTTCGGCAGGCGAGGCGCCGGTCCAAAGCGGGTGGAGCCCGGAGAAAAACTCCCGTCAGGACGTACCAAAATGGAATGCACCTACGTGGATAAAAAAAAACGTACACTTGATCAGTGTACATATATATATATATATATATATATATATATATATATATATATATATATATATATATATATATATATGTACACTGATCATTTATATATGATCATCATATATACGTGTACATATATATATATATATATATATATATATATATATATATATATATATATGTACACGTATATTGTATCATATCTGTATATATATATATATATATATATATATATATATATATATACACAGATATGATGCCAGCACATGCACTTCATCAAACAACGCGCTAGACGTTCCGCAGGTGCTAACAACCAGCTACCAGCGTCACAAAAATACGAGGAACCGACAACTGAGCTCCTGTTTGCCGGCTGAGCCCGTAAAACCACCGAACGCCGCGGCGGCCGAGCCACGCCGGCGCGACACGAAGCCCATGTTTTCGCGGCGTCTGCCGGCCCACGTCTCCACATCCGGCCAAGAAGACGAACCAAGACGTGTCCGCGCGCCGCTGGCGGCTGCCGAGACGTGCATTTGACGGGAGAGGGGGGGGGGGACGGGGGGAGGCAGAAAAGCGCCAGACACGCTAGTAAGCTGCGGACCGGGCTATGCTTTTCACAAATCACCTACGCCCTTCCTCTGAAAGATGGTGACGCACGGCTCCTGAGTTAGAGCACGATGATCAATACGGAGTCGTCCACGGTCCTGCCGGCCACCTCTGCCCCGTTGGGCAGCGGCGGCCAGCGAAGCGGAAGGGTCGCGGGCGGCGCCCGTCTGGCAGGGCGTTCCAAAGGGCTCGTGCCGGACACCCTGGCGCCCGTGTTCGACACATTGGTATATACTGCCGGCCGAAGCGGCAAATAGATCTGCTGCATCCGTCTCCACGCCCGACAAACACGCACACGCACACACAGACACGGACAACGACCGGTGACGTCTAGAGAATACACGCCACTGTTTGGTTAACACGAGACCAGAGCCAAGGTCCGTGCGGCAGAGAAACAAAGGCGGCCTGATATCAGCTGCCACCGACGGCCGTCTGTTAGGGTTCGGTGGCTCAAACTCCGCGGTGTGCCGCGGGGCCGCTCCAACAAACACTGTCTCGCTCCGACACCTCGCGCCAAGTCGATTTGGCTCTAGGGCAGACGGCCGGAGAGCTGCAGATATCACGTCAGATGGGCTCTCTGTGGCTCGAGACACAGCATTCGGTGGGCCTTGGAGACTCCGCCTGCTGCGCATGAACCAGCGAACAGATCATGCAGCCTTGTTATAGCTGCCAAGAAGCATGGCGATGATGATGCTTGGGCCGTGAGGATGTGTCCGCGCCTGGCAACATTTCGCTTTCTGACCATGACTGAAGGAATGGTTGGTTTCATATGCTGAAAGAAATCTGACCGGCTAAAAAGGTATCCAAAGCCAACTTTGCTAAGCAGGACTCAGAGATTGATTTGAAACAGCCTTCCAGCCTCGCCAGCTGCCGGAGATCAGAAACACTGCCGCTCGGCGCCTTTCCCGGATCACACGACTGTCACTCCGCTGCCTGAACTATGAACTACTGTGAGAACTACTGCGTGGTCCCGTTGTACCGCAGAGCTTAAGCAAGTCGCAACTGTGCAAAAAAAAGCAGCGCAAAGGCGGGCAAAACCGTTGAAAAAGCGCAATTGTTCTTTGGAGTAAGGGATAGCAAAACGCTACACGTATTTAACCAGCTGTTTTTCTACCGACACCCAATGCTATGCTATGCAAATTTGGCCACAATACTGCCTTAAACAGAAAATGGACTATTCTGCATGTATCGCAGTCTGTCCATGCATGACACAGTATCCAGTTTCCAAACGAGGAAAAAAGGGATGTCTTTGGAGCATGGTCCATTGCCGCGGTCGTCGGCACACGGCCCGCTCTTGGTGGCTGCGGTCTACGTGTAATACCATTCGCCAGGTGTCTAGCCTGGACTCACATCAAGTTTTTAAGATGCTGTTTACCATGCTTAAGTGAAAGATTGATCACCACATCCGCTTTATACCTTTATATTCGAGACTGTGGGGCCCCTCACTCTAATTCCCGGATAAGCCTTAAGGATACACCTATAGCCAAGATAAGCCAGGATAAGTCTTAGGGAAATCCTATTACTGCTTGCTTCAGCTTGGCACGTCCATATCCATTCCCAAAGAAGTGTTCGATGCACCGAAGGTACTTGCCCACGCACCTGCCACATGCTTCAGGGGGTTCTGGTAACGGCGCTGTGTGGGGCCTTCCTGTGGCGAGTAATCGCCGTAAGCGCAGAAGTGGGGTCGCCAGGCCATGCAGGCCACCACCTGCTGGTCCCGCCGCCGGATCTGCCGGCGAAGTCAGCTGAGGTCACGCTCGGGTCAGGTGAGATGGAAATACGGTCACGTCAGGTCACACTTAAGTCAGCTGAGGTCACACTCACAGCCGGTGAGGTCACACCAGGCCAGCTGAGACTAGCCAGATGGAGTCAAATTGGGGTTAGACTGTCACATTAGCATCGGTTGGAATAACAATGTCACCCAGAGCCTGCCAGGTGCCACCACCTCTGTTACAAAACAGCCTGTACCGGCCACCCAGAGCCTGTCAGCTGCTGCCAGTCTGGTCAGTTGCTGCGAGTCGGCTACAAAGCCCACCTCGTAGATGACTTGCGGGTAGAACGAGGAGACCATTGCCATTTCATACATCTTGGGGAACTTCTCGTATAGTGCTAGGACAGCACCGGGAGCCTGAGGACAGGGCCACATAAGTCATCTGCCTACACTGTCGGCCGTTCCTACAAATCGTGGCCAACACCGGCATGGATGGGCACACTCTTTGGTCGACAGAAGCTTACACAGGATGTCCGGCATGGTCAAGAGAGACTAAAGTGGAGATGCCATGGAGTCAGAGCAGCGAAAAGCAGCACCTAAGCGCGATCTCCATCGGACACTGCAGCACATTGGTGCAGACGCCGTCGCAAGACGTCACTGGCAGCACGGGAAGTTGCTAGATGAGGCGCCGGGTGCCGGCTTTTGAAGTCAAGCGAACAGTAACCAACACTGGGAGCATCGTGGTGTCCTGGCCTTTCCTCCACCTCAAACGGGCCCGAGTGGCAAAAGGACGCGGCGTTCTTGATCCAGGCACAATGCATGCATTATAAAAATATAGCAATTCGTCAGGACCAACCCATCTAACCAGAATTCCATGGTTGATCAGATCAGAAGTGTCTACTTACCCTCGCATCTGGGGCCTTAATGTCGATGATAAAGAGAAGGTCTAGTCGAAGGCATTCTTCCACCATTTCGCTGAGTAGCGCCACCCGTATGGCGGGAAAATCGGCCCTGTCGATGACCGGCCGCTGTCAGATGGTGCGACGCCACACTGCATGTTACTGAACCACAACCACTTCGGGATACCAGAACACTTCTTATTACACGACCCGGCGCTTTGCAAACACCTGGTGCATATGCAAGCCCTGTGAGGCGAACGGACCGAGCCGTTCTCCGTGCTATGTAACGGACGTCGGAACCTGCATGCACAACTTCCTTAAACCTCCTCACCTTTAAGACACCGCTAGCACATCAAAACCTTACACTCCCGAGTGCATAACTGTAAGAAAAAATCAAAAAACAAAAGCAGGTGAGTAAGGAGGGGGTAGAGTAATACATTTATTTGGGTGGAGGGCATGACACTCACCGGGCTGGGCCCCAAATAATGGGGGCCGAGCCTCCACAATGTGAGAGCTGGTCCCCAACACACCTATAAATTTTTTCAACTAATTAAGTTTCCATGTTGTGTTCAAAATTTCACAAAATGAAAATATATTTCAACTGTCGGTTGATATTTTCCAGCAAGTGCTCCTGGCATATAATTGCTGCACCATTCGATTCAAAGGTTTCACATACTGTGCGGTAAAATAAGGCGTTAACAACGCAATTTCAGACAATCGTGGTTTAGCATGAAATTAAAGCCCGCCTTTGCAATCAGCCTCGTGCTGCGCGGGTCATTTGTGGAGCCATGAATACCCCACAGCCACAGTGGAAGCGACAAAAAAGCCGCTACACAGGATTCGAGACTTTGCCAAACGAAGAGCTAAGCTTCACTGTGGTCCCCCTGGAACTTCGCCCACCCCCTCACACAAAATATCAGGATTTCAGTCACTTCATTTTCCCCATATTCATTTTTGAACACGGAAAAATCGTCCTCCCTGCATCGTGGAAGGTGAGATAGAGGTAGGTATGTGTATGTAAGACGCATGTTCACCTTTTGCCAAAGACTGACGAGGCGACGCCTGCCTCTCACCCTGACGGAAAGGGTGGGACCCCACGGAGAATCGAACCCCTCAGTGAATGGTTAAACGTAAAAGCAGTTGTTTGTACACGACGCATAAATCGCAATACCATTCCAGTGACCTGTCATGATGTCATTCGCAGACCCTTCACGCCATGTTGTTTCGTGTTGTAAAACCTATTTCTTGTTGTCGAACCTTTTAAGAGCAATGCCCTGTCATGTGCCACATGCGTTGCATTGTTAACATGAAAATAATTAAAGCTTGTGCGGCATGTTTTGAGCACCTTGAAGGAGTAAGAAAATTGCTAAAATTATAACCTACGAATGTGGCACATGAGACACAATATCATCAATATGAGTTCCACGATTTCCAAGACCAATAGAAATTAAGCATACTGCGCCGCCGGTACGTAAAATTATCTAGCATTCGAAGGCAAACATTCATCACAATATCCGGCTGCTGTCATCTGCCACGGAACTAACAAATATCCGGAAACGCGACGCACGCCGTCGTGCGCCCTTCTTTGGAGGGCCAGCGACTGCAGCAGCCTGCATATTAGCTGGCTCCCGCACTCCTGTTCCTGCTCCGGGGCAATGGCACACGCGGGGTTCGAACAAGCAACTCCCCCCTCACGTTGCAGCCAAAGGCGCTAACCAGTCGGCCATCTCGCGCCCGGAAAGAAGAGATTGCCATCTCGCATATCTGGAGCCCTTGCATCCATACTTGCTTAGTCACGCTGGTAGTCCCAACCAAATATGTCAAGGGGCACGCGCAGTTCTGTCATGTTGAGGACACTTTTTTGTTTACTGTTTCTCTCCGGAAAGGCATTTATTATACTCAATGCCTTACGCATCCCAGAGCGGTGACTTGAATGGTGTGCGAACAATGAGATAAAGCGAGGGTTACAAATCCGATTTCCATCCGTTGCCCGTTAGTGTTCACCACCGTTTTCGTAACGCCAGAGTGGCGCAACCTAATCACATGTCAAGCCTTCGCATGCACATACTCGGATGCACATGTGCGCGCCGCCGGGGAGTTTACTTTGCTCACACCTCCGCCCTGTTCTTGTCGTTCAAATTTGTGCGACCACGAGCATATTCAACTGCTAGTTAGTGTTATTGCCTTGATATATATATATATATATATATATATATATATATATATATATATATATACAAATACTTTGGCCGTTAAAAATAGATACGAGCTCTGTATTGGACAATATCTACAGTGAGATCCATCACTATTGGAACGATGTGTGTGTGTGTGTATATATATATATATATATATATATATATATATATATATATATATATATATGCATCGTTCCAATAGTGATGGATCTCACTGTAGATATTGTCCAATACAGAGCTCGTATCTATTTTTAACGGCCTGTCAAGAGTCTAAAACAACAAATTGCGGGCGCGAGAGGTGACGCACTCCTTCCAGTTCGCTACGTTGAACTGGACTGTGGCCAGGGGCGCGACCAGTCACGGTAAAAGGAGCACTGTGTTTAACAAAGGGTCCCTGCCGGCGATGCCCAAAATGAGCCACCCAATCAAACCGTTTTTTTAAAAATACATCCTCTTTTCACGCTGTGCTTTTGGACCGCTAGGGGATCCAGAAGCTGCCAGCAGACATAATTTTGCATGTATTTAAAATACATGAAATTAAATCAACCAGGAAACAAATGATGACAGTCTGCATCAAATGAGCTGTGGGAGTTATAAGCATAATAATGCTTCATTTAGCCTTTCCATTTCTCTTTTTGGGGGTTTTGGAAGGTTTTTTGGTGCCACTTTTCCAAAGGGTTTGGTCAAGAATTTGGGCATGATGGAGAACAAACAAGTTATTGTGTCCCTAAAAAATGAAGGTTACAGGCCCCTTTGAGCAGCCTCCTTAGACTTGGTGGTCTAGAAAATAATTTAATGGTGCCCAAAATGAGGGTTTTGGTGCCCCCCCCCCAAACCTCAACTCACCCAAGGAACTGATTCAGAATTTTGTTTGGCATGGGAGCCACAATGTTGTTGTTGTGCCCCTGGAGTTTGGTGCCCTATAATAATGAAGGTTTGAGGCACCTTGTGGTGCACCTTGGAATTGCATACCTGTTGAAAATAAAAGTTATGATGTCTGAAATGATGTGTTTGACATGCCTTTCCTGAATGAGCAGAACCAGGATTTTGTCAAATGGGCATGGCACAGATTTTGTGCTACTCCTGGAATTCATGGTGCATTCAAAACATAGGTTTGCATGTATATCAGCATAAACATATCAACAGAAAGCTCCACAGCAAAATTCACTTCCACCAGGATGTCTCTTGGATGCACTAAATAAAATGTCAACTGTGTGAGATAAACTCACAGCAAAAGGGGTGCATATTATGACCACAACACAAAGTGGTCAAAATGTGTAAAGAAACACACCTGGGAAACAGGATGAGCAAGTTTCACAGGTTTGGGCCCCATAAAAAAGTGAATTTCACCCCTGCAAATAAGCTCAAAGTACTGACTTTTTTGGATGCTTTGCATTGATGTCTAGCTGTTTCAGCTCATTCCATGTCAGAGCGCTGATGCTGCCACTGCCATCAGAGATGCGGTCCACAGTGTTGTCATGGAACACCACTGCTTGGTCATCTGATGTGAAGCTCAGGTCAAACTCAATCAGCTGGCAGCCCCGCTCATTGCACTGGAACATTTGGAAGATGGGTCACATGCATATGTTCATATACTCAATATATAATGCATATTATTTCCTCTAGAAATACTGCATTAGAACAGAAACACAGAGTGTAATAAAAGATCAGATCATGTATGCCAAAATAACTAGATTTGAAGCAACTTCACACCATGAGCACAGGTGTATAGCAGAACAAAAAGAGAAAGAAAGAGAATCAGTGCAGCTGTCTACACAATAAAGCAATGCTATTAGAAAAATAGTATACTTAGATCTGAACTGAAATAAAGCCTGAATTACCCACCACTGAGGAAATCACATACAAAGTTACCAGACCACCTGGTATGACATGAAATATTTCAGCACATTATTATTTTATTATCAAAAACTTTCTGATGGTTTTGTGCACTACTTAAAACTACTTGGCCATTAAGAGCCCCAAAATACATGTTGTGATCAGCATACCTTGTACAGTGCAGCTAAGCTGTTCTCAGGAGCATCCAGGCAAGCAGCACGGTGGGCACCCACCATGAATTTATCCAGCCTGTTAAATATCTTTTGGACTGTTGTTTTGGGAGGAGTTGGAATGTGATAGTACAAAACTACAGCTGATGGGATGACCAGGATCATGGCCAAACATCCCAAAAAGAGATCCAACATGGTGAATAAATAGTGGACAGCCAGTATCACAGCAATCCGGAAGCCAGTCCAGCTGATGAAGCGCACAGTTTCATACTCCATTGTGTGACTGTTGATGTTGCTTTGCAGTTGGATGCCTCAAATGGAAGTACTGATTGACATCAAACTCTTTGTCTCTGAAGGTTCAGCAACAATGATTGATAGTTCCCCTGGCTTTGTTTCAACCTAAACAAGGCTGCCTCCAACTATGCTGTATGCCGCTTCCATTATCTGTGGAAAATGTATTGCACTTGTTAGTTGGTGACACTCTGTGCATATTCTGGTATTCTGGCACTGCTGACATAAGCTTCACACTTACTGAAACTGGCAGCATCCATTCAAGCCATTTGGGACAGGGAGGCCAAAATTATCATGGCTCTAGATATTGCTGGGGTTTGATACATCTATCAATTCTAGTTTGTAATGCTTGACACACAAGATTCATGAAGTTCAGATAGTCTTAAGAGCTGTGAGCTCTATGCCTGGAATACCTCATCAATGAACGTCACTTGTTCCTTCACTCGGCCCAACCGTGGGAAACAGAAAACTAGCGGGCCAGAAACCTTCACTCGGCCCAACCGTGGGAAACAGAAAACTAGCTGGCCAGAAAATATAAGTACTTTATCAGTTAGCACGCCGACACAGAGGCATGCAGCAAAATACGCTGCAAAACAGCATAAGCATGACAGTCTCACTACATACACCAAAAGGCACAGGCATCAACACATCACCGGCTCACCAGACCGCAGCAACCACCTCCAGCGAACCAAATCGAATAAGGGTGGAACGGCCGCCGCGCGCGACCAACCGGGAGTAAGTGCCGTGCGATACGGATCATAAACAAACATAGCAGCCTTCTTCTTTCTTGTATATCGCGCCTCACGATAATGTCGGTGCGCCAGAAGACAGCAGAACGCGCAGCGGTTGTCAATTGCACAGAGAATTGCCTGAGCGATAAATACGTGCCGGGGAAAATACATGCATTGAATATAAATAAAACGCAATAAGCGATCTTATCGGTGTAGCACAAAGTACAACCCTAGCCCTTATGATGATAATAACGCCATCGAGCGTCTAATTTAGCAATCCCATACTGTATGAGTATCACTCAGATTGAGAACAACAATTTTGAACGTGTATGCACCTTCTGTAACAACTGGCAGCAGGCGCCACAGCCGGCATTTTGTTGTGGCGCTGGAAGGATCCCAGACGGACAGATTGGTTGGGCAGTAACAGGATGTCCAGCACGGCCGCAATAACCTTTGCAACATGTTTCTGATGACCGCGGCCAGCCACAGTCTGTCAGCGGCCTAGCTGGGCACCAGCTAGGCACATATCGGGCAAATACCAGGATATCGGTGTGGCCTGGGCAGGCGCTGGGCTCCAGTTGGGGTCCTACCTGGGATGTCGACGTGGTCTGTGCAGGCGCTTAGCTCTATCTGGGACCCTGCCTGGAGCAATGTGGTGGAAGCGCGGTATACGAGCTGGGCATATACGTCCAAGCCAGGGATGTATGGAAAACAAGAACTTCGTGGGATACCCAGCTGACGTAGGATGGCAGTATTTTACCTGCATCCTGGCTCAGCGGACCGACACATCACCCGCCGAACGGCCGAGCCATCTGCTCCGCCCGCTAGTTGCCCCACGTACAACGAGCTGCCGTACCTTTGCGACCCGGGGGCCAACGCTCAGGGGCAACGACCGGCCACCCGCGGGGACGGGACAGCGTCGAGACCACACGACTGAGGGTGCGGGCACTGGTGTCACCGCGCAGCCGGCAGGCAGGCGCAGCCGCTGCGTCGCCGCCACTGGACGAAACGGCGTCCCAGGCCATGGACGCAGGAGCCGGGCGTCGCCAAGAACGTATTGAGATGTCCCCATCCCTTCAGCAGGCTGGCTGATGTAAAAATATACGATAAGCTGTGCACCAACGCTGCGCCGCCAGTACATGATAAGTTGCGTACCAACGCTGGAGCCGGGCGTCGCCAAGAAACCGGCGGTCCGGCACGGCTACCGCGTCGCCGACGCCTGCTGATCGCTTTACCCGGACCACGTCTACCCACTCTCCGCGGAAAGGCGGGCTTTTGACGATTTAACCATCCTCATCAGCATCGGGTCCGCGGACGTACTCGAGCCCTATTCCGGCGGTGGCGGCGCTTTAAAAAACTAGTTTTTAGGTTATGGCTCTCACCCTTTCGCTGGGACTGCCCAGGACACGACCGCGCTGCTGGGGAGCCAGACGCCGACAGTACTGTGAGGACTTGTACGCTTCATCCCGGACAAGCCGACATGAAATGTCATTCCTCAGGGACAGTGTCAGGAAGTGGCTGTTCGTTTACCTGTGTGAATGTTTTTTTGGCGTTTGCGACGGATATGTTTTCTCGCCTTTTGGCCCGCACGCTACGTATTAGGATGTCAGCAACCCACCAGCAGCCTGGTTGATGTACAAGTACATGATAAGTCGTGTGCCAACGTTATAACCAGAAAACCGGCTGGGTGTCGAACCACCCAGAACGTGAGACTAAAGAGAAGGCTTAACGGACAGCGGGACGGCGCAGGAAACAATTCCAAGAGATGAGCCCAGCAAGAAACTGCGCAGCAGAGCGGTGTACATGATGGGCCCGAGAAGGGCGCAGGCTGACCTCTGACGGATTCTGACAGGGAGCTGGCTGAGCACTGGCTTCGCAAAGCCGGGCTGTCCGTGTGGGGCTCAGCATGCCACAGACCTGCATTGTTTTGTCCATACCGCTTGGAATACGCGATGCATCCCAAGCAATTCAGTGGCTAAGGATGTTTTGTATTGGATGAGGCAAGAATTGTTTTTACAGTTCAAGACGTAAAGCCCTCATCTCACCCGCCAGAAGTGCAGGTCGCTTGAAGTGAGAAGTTAGCTTACGGCGCTGCGTTGCTTCAATTTGGACAAATGGCTTCCGTCCTAAACATGCTTAGAAAATGGTCAGAACCTTAATGACCTGTTTTTAATATGAAAGGGTCATGCAATACTTCGAAAGGTACCTAATGTTCTGTGAACTTTGGAAAGCACTCCGGTTTTTATCAAGGTCAGGTTGCATTGCAATTTGCACTTCCTCGTCCTGAGTCGTCACCACGCAAGACAGCAAACAATGCAAAAAAGGGCACAATATTTCATTACACGTGCCTTGAGGTAATGCTGCAAAGCATCAACTGGAATTCTTTATTATACCCTTTTAGAGCTTTTTGGGGCATGCTTGTCAATAAGCAGCGAAAGATGGAAAAATACAGACATAAGGCTGTATCGCGGGCAGTTTAAATGCCTGGGAGCAGATGTCGTTTTCGGGGTCGGAGATGTCTGATTATTGGAGCTACTAAGAGTTTATTTAGTCATATGCAACTGGAGGGTATGGACGCACAACCACTACCGATGTTGCCTGACTTCCGCCGCCGCTGCAAAACACCGAAGCTCAGCCGGACGTAATGCCACCGCAGGGCTAGTCCCCGACCGGCGACACATGGCTGATAAGGCCCCCGACCGGCGCCTGCTCACCAGATACCTGACAGCAGGGACAGCTCCGGCCGTGTGATGGGCGGCACATGGCTGATATGGCCCCCGACCGGCGCCTGGTCACCAGATACCTGACAGCAGGGGCAGCTCCGGCCGTGTGAATGGCACCGCATGCCCTGGCTTTGGCTGCAGATTGTGTATTGATAATATCCAGTCATGTAATGCAGGGGGCGCTCATTGTTTGCAATATCCACTGCAGCTTTTTGCATCGCCTTCAGAGTGCCATTCACAATGTGTTGCTTTGTTTTGTGTGTTTTGTTTGTCAACATGCGTTGATGGACCTGACGAGAAACGCTGGCCTTCGTCCCCAGGCATCATGCCATCCGTGCATTTCAGATCTGGTACCAAAGTGGGGCCCCGTTTTATAATGCTAGTGTGAAAAGGCTTGTTTTTCCTTGCAACGTCAACTCAGTCGCTAGCTACGCCAGTCTGCAAATGCTGGTGGGCCTTTCAAGGCATGAGCCTTGAATCTGGACGATAAATGGGCTGCAGCATTACGTACACCTTGCAAGTTTTTGAAAAGGATGTGAAGTTAAAGTCTGTTTCCAACCGCAAGCAGAGAATGTGGGCCCATGGCTCGAATTCTGTCTGGGACGACGTCGCCAACGATACCGCTCAAGGATTGATGCTGGGACCAACACTACTCGCTATTTTCATCGACGATTTACCAGAAGTGCGAAGCGCGGTCAAGATGTCCGCGGTCGGTGCTGATATGTACTGTCGTGTTCCGAGGTCCCGGCTGCTTTTCCTCACCAGGATGACCTCAATATCCTGGTCAAATAGCCGGAGGTGTACGATCGCTTTCATGCAACGTCATCAAGTGTAAAGAAATGTACATCAGCACTTGCGGCCTACGGCTGGCCTACTTTTTGAACGGCACCGAAATCGCAGTCGTGCCCACAAAAGGTTTCTTGGAAATTTCGTGGGGGCTCATGCAGGGTTCTGTTCCACGGGCAGACAACGGGGGTGATTGCTAAGGCCAACCAGATGCTGGCAGCCGTGAGACTGTTTTTCGCCAATATTGACGTGCTCACGCTGCAGCTGTTGTCAGGACCACGGTGTGCCCGCTTTTGGCGCAGCTGTTCGAGGGTACTGCATCATCACCTGAGGTCGCTCGGCAAACTGGATCAGGAACGATCAGAGCGGGTTTAATGACGAGCCACGCGTCTTGTCCGAGGAGCATGGTGCCGGCCATATTCTGAGGGGCTCAGACTTCTCCAACTGCCTTTCCTGAAGTACTGATGCTGCAGGGGAGGCATGATTGCAGTGCTCCAGATGCTTTACGGAGCCATATCTTCTCCGTTGGGCAAGATCCTGATGACTCCGAAGTGACAAGAGGACACCACTGAAAGCTGAGAAGCCCTTAACACGCACCCGGGTGATCGGCTGGATATCCTTCGCTCGGGTGGGGTGGGGGGTGGGGGTGGCTCCACTTGACCCCCTGAGATGTCGGGAACTAAGAAAGCTAGAGATACCAACTTTACAGGGTGTATTGACCTGTACGTAAACTCAATTATGTCATAGTTTCAGGTTCCTATGTCATGAACTTTGGTATAAATAAGGTCAAACAAGGTCAAATTACAGGTTGGTCTCCAAAGTGCCCGCAGAACCTAAATAACTGTTTCTAAGCAAAAGGTCACATCCTCATTTAACGCCAGTAACCTTGTTTGACCTCTTGAAGGTCATGGTGACCAGAATAATACAAGAATGCTTTGAGTTTTAAATTAGAATAATCGACAAAGATTACGTTAGGCAGTATGTTTCTGAAAACAAAATGCTGACCTGGGTCCTTTTAGGTCAATGGCCTATTCTGACCTCTTAGAAGTGCATGGAGGATGTAGAATGCGGTTCCTACTGTCAATCAATTTGAAATGAGCACCAAAAACTATCCCATACAGCAAACCCCAAAGTAATAAGATAGGTTGGCTTCGCCCTTGGTCTAACCTTCATCCCTCAACTTCAGTCAACTTAATGCTTACAAATTACAAGGTACATATAAATTTTTGGAACTAAGCGATTCACTGTTCAATTATCTACAGCTGTGCAAACTTGGGCGCGCCAGCGCCGCGCCGTTCGGAAGTCATTCTGGAAAAACGTTCGGGGGGTTCGATTCCCCCTCACCTCCCCACCGCAGCGCGTGTTAAGCCAGGACCTTAGTCGCCCAGATCTTGTTCAGCTTCTAGGATGTAGGTGATTGGAATGCTCTTCCTCTACAGTATTATCGTCATCCGCAGTTGAGCAGCTTACAACTAGGCTCGATTCACGCTGTGCTGGCA